TGTACCTGATGACCTGCACACGACCTGACCTTGCATACCCTCTTAGCATTCTTGCACGCTATGTTGCTCCTGGGAGACACCGACCAGAGCACATGGCTGCAGCGAAGAGGGTGTTGCGCTACTTGTGCAGTACGTCGAGCATGGGGCTAGTGCTTGGAGGGCGGAGTCCAGTGGTCCTCACTGGACACGCAGACGCTTCTTGGGCTGACGACCAGGCTACGCAGCGGTCGTCACAGGGTTACACCTTCAGCCTTGGTTCCGCCTCTGTTTCGTGGCGGGCTACTTGCTCGTCTTCTGTTCTTGGCTCCAATTGTGAGGCTCAGATCTACGCAGGGGCCATGGCTGCTCAGGAGCTTCGCTGGCTCACCTACCTGCTGACCGACCTTGGAGAGCCGCCTCGTTCTCCTCCAGTCCTGTACGTCGACAACAAGGCCATGCTGGCCTTGTGTCGGGAGCAGAGACTGGAGCACAGAACAAAGCACATTGCTCTCCGCTACTTCCTTGCTCGTGAGCTACAGCAGCGTGGTCAGTTGCGACTTGCGTACGTGGCCTCTGAGGCCAACACTGCTGATGTCTTCACCAAGGCATTTCCGCCTTGTGATCATCAGCGCTGCTGTACCCAGCTGGGTCTTGTGTCTGTCTTGCCTCACTTGCTCTCCTCTTGACTCTCCTTATACTGTTACAGATATATATCACTGCTCTTGCTTGTTTAGTCTTATATATATATCTGTACTCCTGCATGTGAGCTGGCCTTGTGGCCTTGCACTTGTGCTCGGATGGAGTGGTGACATTGTGATCCACCCTGAGCTTGCTTTGTTTTGCTTTACTTGACTGGTCTTGTGACCCCTAGTTCTCCCCCACTTCGCCTATGGGGGTGTGTCAAACATTATATATGTTGTTGTAGTTGGTTAGGCTACAGTGGGTTAGCCTATAGGGGGTACACATTCCTAGGTTTTGATACTTGTACCCATTTCACTCTTAGTTCAATTCATTCTTGTTCAACAGTACCCCAAGCAGGACGGCCTCCAGGACCGACAGTAGTAGCCTCCGAGCCAACACCCGGAGCAGCTCCTGCTCCAGAAGTAGCCGCAGGTCCAGCAGCTCCAGTACTCCCAGTACGAGCACCTGTGGGACCCGTGGCACCAGCTCCCTCAGCAGCAACAGAACCTCCAGTACCCGCAGCACCTCCAGCTCCAGCAGCTTGCCTCCAGCGCCGGGCAAACCACTCACACAGCTCCTGTGGAGAGAGTGGCTCCCTGCAAGAAGAAGCACCCGGAGAACCGCCAGGTCCAACACCTGCAGGCTTAACTCCCTCAGGCTCCGCACCCCCAGGCTCAGCACCTCCAGGCGTAGCACCCCTCTTGCTCAGCACCCCCAAGCTCAGCACCCCTAGGCTCAGCACCCCCAGGCTCAGCACCCCCAGACTCAGCACCCCAAGGCTCAGCACCCCCAGGCGTAGCACCCACACGCTCAGCACCCCCCAGAGTCAGCACCCTCAGGCTCAGCACCCTCAGCAGCAGTAAAGTCTACAGCGACCTCGACAGGCTCAACAGCGTCTACATGGGACACACCTGAAGGGGCAGGACCCTGAGGGGGGAGGGGGTCTACCGGGGGGGGACCTGGCACAAGGAAGAGCGGTGGCGGGGGGAGGGACGGAGTGCGGTAGGGGAAGAGGCGGTAGTAGGGGACCGACTCGTCGAACGTGACGTCCTGGGAGGAAAGAACACGGCGAGAGGTGGGGTGGTAGAACTGCCACCCTGGCGCGTAAGGGGGGAAACCCAGGAAGACGCAAGGAGCAGCACGAGGGGACAGCTTGTCCGCAGACAAGTCGCGGACAAACGCCCGAGATCCCCAGACACGGAACGCAGACGCATCACCAACCTTCCCCGTCCACAGCAAAGCTGGGGAGGTCTCCGTCTTGGAGACCCTGGGCTGAAGGTTGATCTGATGCGCCGCGTACCGAACCGCAAACAGCCACAGAAAATGGGGGGCAGCCGCATGCATCATGGACGTACGGGCGACGTCCATGACCATGCCAATGCGGCGCTCAGCAATCCCATTTTGCTGTGGAGATTCCGGAAGCGTGAAGGTATGGCGGATGCCTCGTGCACGACAGTAGGCTCGCAGAAGGCCAGAGGAGAACTCTCCGCCTCTGTCAGAGTGCAGACGCAGAACAGGAAAGTCCGAGCCGAAGCTCTGCCTGAGCTGGAGACGAGCTGCGCGGATCCAGTCGATCAACACCCTACTGACATCACCCTTGCTGCGCAAGGGGAGGACTATGGTGTAACGCGAGTAGTCGTCAACCACCAGCAGGAAGTAACGCCCGTGACCCTGTCCACGGACGCGGGCTGGGCCCCACACGTCCATGTGAAGCGTCTGCAGCGGGGCCTCTGTCGGAGGAAACTGGGAGGAGTGAGGGGTAGCCTGCTGCCGCCCCTCGACACAGCGGACGCAGGTAGGGCCAGGCCCTGGAGGAAGGGGAGGGAGGGACCGGGGAAGACCAGAGACAAGGACACGGGAGGCCATGCTTCGGAGACGAAGCAGGGAGGGGTGACCAAGGCGGTGGTGCCAGAGGAGAGTCTCGTGAGACAGGAGGCGACACGAGCAGGGGGCAGACTCAGGACCAGACCTGGACGCTGCAGCTAACACCTGACCCGACGCAGCTACCTGACCAGACGCAGGGACTGGAGGAGACGCAGTGGTCAGTGTGTACAGGCTCGACCCCGGCCGACGTGTAAACGTGGCCAGGTGTCGGCCTGTCCGAGCGTCCGTGCAGTGGGTCACCCGCTGACTCGCAGGAGTGAACTGGTGAACCCCTGTATCCTGTAGGTCAGCACCACTCACCAAGTTCGTAGAGAACAAGGGGAGGTAAAGACCAGACATGGTGCCAGAGGGGGTCGCCGGACACGGGAGGACAGTGGAGAAGTAAGCAAGGACAGGACCCCCAGAGGGGTCTCCCAGGGAGACTGCAACTGGCCGACCAAGCGGCGTGAGTGTGGTGCGGTCTCGAAAGAAGGAGCGAGAAGCCTCCGAGTCAAGTGTGAAGGTGTGGGAGGCCGAAGCCGACGCAGTACCTGAGAGCGCTGACTCACCAGTACCGGGGGTAGCAGACGCACTAGCACCTAGAGCAGCAGCCTCGCTAGCACCAAGAGCAGCAGCCTCACTAGCACGTAGAGCAGCAGTCGCAATGCCCGGGTCGGGCGGGAAACACCGGTAACAGTCACCCTCCTCACTAATAGACACAGTATACATAGCAGCAAGAATAGCATCAAAGTCAAGGTCAAAGATAGCTACCCCTGCCCTAGACAGCTTGCCCCAGCGAGGGATCTCAGTGGCCTCAGGGAACTGGTGACGCCAAGCGTCCGTCAGGCGGCCAAAGCAGCGCTGGGTAGGGTGCGCATCCCCACACTACTCACCCGCACGGTCGCCGGTGCGCAGGACGTAGGTGCACGGGCCAGTACCCCCACCCCGCTGGCGTGCAGAGTACCACTCACGCAGCTGCTGAGGGGACAGGGTCTCCCGACTGCGCTGCTGCTGCTGGCGCTGACCACCACCGGAGCCACTCCTCTGCGAAGAGCCACCACCTCCTCCTCCTCCACCTCCGCCACCGCCTCCTCCACCTCCGCCACCTCCACCACCTCCGCTCCCACCGCCACCGCCGCCGCCGCCTCCGCCTCCACTGCCGCCGCCGACACCTCCACCCCCGCCACCACTCCCACCACCACCCCCACCCCCTCCACTGCCTCCACCGCCGCCTCCACCGCCCCCGCTAGCTCCTCTAGCGCCCCTGCCTCCCTTGCCCTTCTAGAGCGACGCTTCCCACTAGGGGTAGATGCCGCACCGACCGACTCCAGACCAACGAGGTCGGCCGCAGCAGCAGAGGCAACAGAGGGCAAGAGAGGGGAGGGGGAACACCCCTTAAAGATGAAGAAACGAGAATGATTGAACTATGAATGAATTGGGTACAAGTACTAACCCTAATTGGGTTGTATCCCTTATGGGCTACCCCACTATAACCTACACAATATGCATGAGCTATAATGTTCTGACACTCGGCTGCAGGGCGGCTCGGCAGCTCGAGGGCTCGGCGGCTCGGCAGCTCGGCGGCTCGGCAGCTCGGCGGCACAGCGGCAAGGGCGGCTCGGCGGCAAGGGCGGCACAGCGGCAAGGGCGGCTCAGCTGCTCGACGAGGCCGAGAAGGGCAGCTGAGGGGCCGAGGAAGGGCGGCAGGGCTGCGAAGGGTGGCGACGGGGCCGCAAGGGGCGGCAACGAGGCCGCTGAAGGGCGGCGATGAGGCCGCTGAGGGGCGGCGACGAGGCCGCTGAAGGGCGGCGACGAGGCCGCGAAAGGGCGGCGACGGGGCCGCGGAAGGGCGGCAATGGGTGTAAAGAAATGAGGAATGAAGAAGAGAGGAGTTGCACTAGCAGCAGTTGGCATACATATAGGAAACCCTAATTGGGTTGTACTCGCTATAGAGTACCCCACTGCAGGCTAGACAATTATAACATTCTGACACACCCCCATAGCCAAAGTGGGGTGTAATCAGCACAATGAGCAAGCAGGCATAGAGCAGGAGTTCACAATAGGGAGCAAAGCTAGAGTTAATCACAGCGGGCAAGTGAGGAGGAGGAGGAACTGTGGAGGGAGAGAAGATGGGAGGCAACGACTGAAGCTGCAGAGGCACGGGCACAGGAGCGGCTGACTCAGTGGCTACCGAAGCAAGGGCAACGGACAACTGGAGTAACTGGCTCCGCGGCTATAGACGAGCGGCAGGAGCAACGGACCCACTGGCGACTGGTGCAACAGGCTCACTGGCTACCGAAGCAAGGGCGACGGACTACAGGCGCTGCAGGCGACACGACAGCTACCTTCACACAACCTCCTCCAGCTGCCCCACACCTCTCGACACACACCCCTTGCTCAAACCCTAGTTCTACTCCCACAGCACCCCCCTTTCACACACCCCCTGCTGCACCCTAGGTTCACTCACACCCCACCCCCTAGCACCACTCCGTCGACAGGGTCGAGGCAGGGCCGAAAGGGGCGGCGACGGGGCCGCAAGGGGCGGCGACGGGGCCGCTGGAGGCGGCGACGGGGCCGATAGGGGCGGCGACGGGGCCGTTAGGGGCGGCGACGGGGCCGCAAGGGGCGGCGACGGGGCCGCTGGAGGCGGCGACGGGGCCGATAGGGGTGGCGACGGGGCCGTTAGGGGCGGCGACGGGGCCGCAAGGGGCGGCGAAGGGGCCGCTGGAGGCGGCAACGGAGCCGATAGGGGCGGCGACGGGGCCGTTAGGGGCGGCGACGGGGCCGCAAGGGGCGGCAACGGGGCCGCTGGAGCCGGCGACGGGGCCAATAGGGGCAGCAACGGGGCCGCGAAGGGGCCGCGAAGGGGCCTGGAAGGGCGGCGACGGGCCGCTAGGGGCGGCGACGGGGCCGCGAAGGGGCCGCGAGGGGCCTGAGAGGTCGGCGACGGGGCCGTTAGGGGCGGCGACAGGGCCGCGAAGGGGCTGCAAGGGGCCTGGAAGGGCGGCAACGGGGCCGCGAAGGGGCCGCGAGGGGCCGAGAAGGGCGGCGACGGGGCCGCGAGGGGTGGCGACGGGGCCGCTAAGGGTCGCGCGAGGGGCACGCCACGGGGCGTGCAGAACACAGAGTAGCAGCGGAAGCAGTTAGGTGGGCCCACAGCCAGGAGCGTAGATGCTCTGATAGCATGTGAAGAATGAGGAATGAAGAAGAGAGGAGGGGTTGCACTAGCAGCAGTTGGCATACATATAGGAAACCCTGCAGGCTAGACAATTATAACATTCTGACAATGGGGCCGCTGAAGGGCGGCGACGAGGCCGAAAGGGGCGGCGACGGGGCCGTAAGGGGCAGCGACGGGGCCGTAAGGGGCGACGACGGGGCTGTAAGGGGCGGTCGCGGGGCCGTGAGGGGCGGCGACGAGGCCGTAAGGGGCGGTCGCGGGGCCGTGAGGGGCGGCGACGGGGCCGTAAGGGGCGGTCGCGGGGCCGTGAGGGGCGGCGACGGGGCCGTAAGGGGCGGTCGCGGGGCCGTGAGGGGCAGTCGCGGGGCCGTAAGGGGCGGCGACGGGGCCGCTAAGGGGCCACGCGGGGCCTAGAGAGGGCAGCGATGGGGCCTGAGGGGCGGGACACTAGGCGCGCTTCAGGCAGGGGCGGCACGCGCCCTGGGTAGGAAAAAACAAATCTTGGTGGGCCCTAGGAACAGTTCCCACGAGGGAACCTGCTCGATACCATGAGAAACTTAGAACAAGAATGGAATGACTAAGGAATGAAAGTGATACAAATATGAAACCCTAGAATTGTGTACCCCTTAGTATCTAACCCGCTACAGCCTACACAGGCTAGATCATATAAGTTTGACAGTGCAACCCCTCTTTCTGCTTCTAAACTTTCTGCTCGTACTTCTGACACATCAGTCTCGATGGCTGCTGCTGCGATTGGCGCTGGCGCTGGCGCTGGCCCTGGCGCTGACATCAGAAACGAAGAGATAAAATAAATGGCAGGGTTTCAGTTGCGCCGATACGTCGCTGGGAGGGCGACAGATCCGTCATTCCCACGGGCAAAACGGGAGCGACGGATGGAGTTTCGTTGAGACACACAGAAGCGAAGAGATGGCAGAAATGGTGAGTTCTCTGACTGGGTGGTTGTGCTCCAGCGAGGCGGTGAGCAGAGCACTTCCCTGCTGGTGCACAGCGAAGCACCAACTGCGAAGATTGTGTCAGAATATTATCTTATTGTTCTAACCTGTAGTGGGGTGCTCTATAGCGAGTACAACCCTTCTAGGGTTTGCTATTTGTATCCTCATTCTTGCTAGTTCAATCCCTCTTTCTTCCTTCTAATTTTGTCATGCTATCAGAGCAGGTCGATCCCCTTGGATCGATCCTGTGGGTGGGTTACCACCTCGCTTCCGCTGCTACTTTTTCCTCCCGCCGTGCGCCCCGAGGCGCGCGGCGGTTTTCTGCCCGCCGTGCGCCCCGAGGCGCGCGGCGGTTTTTTGCCCGCCGTGCGCCCCGAGGCGCGCGGCGGTTCTCTGCCCGCTGTGCGCCCCGAGGCGCGCGGCGGGCGTCTGCCTCGCGGCGTTCGCCGCGTCCCGCTCTGGAGGCGTCGCGACGGGCGACGGGGACCCGTCGCGGCCCCGCCGCCCTACTACGGTCGCGGCCCCGCCACCTTCGGCGCGCGGCCCCTTTCTTCTCTGGCGCGCCGCCCGCTGCCCCGTCGCGCCGCCCAGGGGAGCCGCGCGCGGCCCCCGCCCGTCTGTTACGACGGTCTGGGGTGTCGCGTGCGGCCCCGTCGTCGCCCGCAGCGACCCCGTCCCCACCCGCCGCGGCCCCTTCGCCGCCCGAGCGGCCCCGTCGCTGCCGCAGCGGCCCTGTCGCCACCCGTGCGGCCCCGTCGCCGCCCGCAGCGACCCCCTCCCCACCCGCCGCGGCCCCTTCACCGCCCCGTCGCCGCCCGCAGCGACCCCCTCCCCACCCGCCGCGGCCCCTTCACCGCCCCGTCGCCGCCGCAGCGGCCCCGTTGCCGCCCGCGCGGCCCCGTCGCCCTACTCGCGGCCCCGGCCCCGGCCCCGTCCCCCCACCTGCGACTCTCTCAGGTCCGTGGTGGGCCCCTTTCTCCCCTCCCACCCATTTCCCGTCGCCCGTCGAGGCGACCTGAGGGGGCCGCTTGCGGGGTGGCGGGTATGGGGGTGATCGGTGTGCCTTCCTCCCTTTGCTCCTCCTCCTTCTTCGTCTCCCACTGCTGCAGCTGTCGCTGAGGGGGGTGGTTGTGTGGGAGACTGGGGTTTAGGGTTTAAGGGGGGTGCGTGGGAGTAGAGCTAGCGGTGTAGCAGTGGGTGTGTATAAGGGGGGTGGGACTGTGTGCGGGAGGATGAGCGGAGGTTGCCAGTTTGTCGTCAGCAGCACCTGTAGTCTGGGGCGCTGTCCCGGTAGCCCAGTGAGCTAGACTTCTACGCCAGCTGCCCGTGGGTCCGTTGCCCGTCTGCCGCTACTTGAGCCGCGGGGCCTGTTACTCCTGTAGTCCGGGCGCTGTCCGGTAGCCGCTGTGCCAGTCTGCCTCCTGTTGCCCGTGTGTCTGCAGCTTCAGCCGTCGCCTCCTATCTCCTTTCCCCTCACTCTCTCTCCTCCTCCTCACTTGCCCGTTGTGACTACCACTAGCTTTGCTCATAATTGTGAACTCTAAACTATTTCTTCTTGAAATTGTGCTCAGATTGTGTGGTGACATTGTGATCCACCCTGAGCTTGTACTGCTTTGCCTGCTCTGCTGATTACACCCCACTTTGGCTATGGGGGTGTGTCAGAATATTATCTTATTGTTCTAGCCTGTAGTGGGGTACTCTATAGCGAGTACAACCCTTCTAGGGTTTGCTATTTGTATCCTCATTCTTGCTAGTTCAATCCCTCTTTCTTCCTTCTAATTTTGTCAGATTGTGATTCGTGCACCAGCGAAGCACCAACCAGAGCACTTCACTTTGCAACGTAGTGTGAAACTAACTGAACAGGAATGAATTGACTAAGTCAGAGTTGGGTACAAATACAACCCTAGCAAACTGTACCCCATATGTGCTACCCCACTATAGCCTACAAACATGCATCAGCTATAATAATCTGACACACCCCCATAGGCAAAGTGGGGGAGAACAAGGGGTCACAAGACCAGTCAAGCAAAGCAAAGCAAGCTCAGGGTGGATCACAAAGTCACCACACAGTCCGAGCACAAGAGCAAGGCCAGAGGCCAGTTCACATGCAGGAGTACAGACATATATAAAACTAGACAAGCAAGAGCAGGTATATATATGTCAAAGTACAAGTAAAGTCAAGAAGAGAGCAAGTGAGGCAAGACAGGTACAAGACCCAGCTGGGTACAAAAGCGCTGATGGTCGCAAGGCGCAAGTGCCTTGGTGAACACATCAGCAGTGTTGGCCTCAGAGGCCACGTAAGCAAGTCGCAACTGACCACGCTGCTGCAGCTCACGAGCAAGGAAGTAGCGGAGAGCAATGTGCTTCGTTCTGTGCTCCAAGCGCTGCTCTCGACACAAGGCCAACATGGCCTTGTTGTCTACGTACAGCACTGGAGGAGAACGAGGCAGCTCTCCAAGGTCAGTCAGCAGGTAGGTGAGCCAGCGAAGCTCCTGTGCAGCCATGGCCCCGGCGTAGATCTCAGCCTCACAACTGGAGCCGAGAACCGAAGACGAGCGAGTAGACCGCCACGAGACAGAGCCGGAACCAAGGCTGAAGGTGTAACCCTGTGACGACCGCTGCGTAGCCTGGTCGTCAGCCCAAGAAGCGTCTGCGTGCCCAGTAAGGACCACTGGACTCCGCCCTCCAAGCACTAGCCCCATGCCCGACGTACTGCACAGGTAGCGCAATACCCTCTTCGCTGCAGCCATGTGCTCTGGTCGGTGTCTCCCAGGAGCAACATAGCGTGCAAGGATGCTCAGAGGGTATGCAAGGTCAGGTCGTGTGCAGGTCATCAGGTACATGAGGCAGCCAACAAGCTCTGCATACGGACCACTCGACTCTACGGACTCATCCGAAGGCAGAGCTGAGAGTGAGTGGCGAGTAGGCAGAGGAGTGGCCTGAGGCGAGGAGTACGTGAAGCCGAAGCGCTGAAGGACCTGCTGCACCATGTGTGACTGAGTCAGGGTAATGGTGCGGCGTGCTCTGTCCCGAGTGATCTGCAAGCCAAGGTAGCTGCGCAGTTCACCCAGGTCTGTGCACGTGTGTCTCTTCTGCAGCTCGGACTTCACGTAGGCGAGTCCAGCAGTGTCCGCTGTGGCAAAGACCAAGTCGTCGACGTACACGAGGATGTAGAACGGCGGCAGGGAAGTGTCGGTGCGAAGAAACAGCGACGGGTCAGCAGTAGAAGGAGCAAACCCAAGAGCCGCAAGCGTAGTCCTCAGTGTGTCGTGCCACTCACGCGGTGCCTGGCGGAGACCGTAGACTGGCCGTCGGAGGCTCCACTGGGTGCCAGGAGGGAAAGTCCCAGTGAAGCCAGGCGGACGGCGCAGCCAGATCTCCTCGTGCAGGCTACCCTGCAGGAACGCAGTGCTGAAGTCGAGAGAGTGAAGCTCGTAGTCGCGCTGAGCGGCAATGTGCAGCAGCACCCGAAGAGTGGTCATCTTCGGGGTGGGAGAGAAGGTCTGAAAGTAGTCAACTCCCTGCCGCTGACTGAAGCCACGAGCCACGTAACGCGCCTTGAAGACAGGCGGCGAGCCCGGCGGCCGCTTCACCCTGAAGATCCACATGCCACTGACGATGTTCGCCCCAGGAGGGGGAACCGCGTCAACGTAGGTGCCTGTGGACTTCCAGGAAGCCATCTCTGCATCCATAGCTGCCTGCCACTGAGAGGAGTAGGGACCCTCTACGGCCTCCGCGTAAGAACGCGGAGTCGGGATGTCTAGTGCATCCGGGTCTCCCTCAGGGGCTAGCAGTACAGACGCGAGACGAGGTGAAGCAGCGGCTAGACACTGGAACTCCTCCTGCCTGTCCTCTAGGACGTCCGTGCCAAGGGCACACTCACCCCCGACGGACGGAGGACAGGCGGACTCAGACTCAGCGACAAGACGAGCAGCGTAGTCTAGACGACAGCGCGCAGCAAAGTCGACAAGCTCAGTGACAAGGGCAGACGCAGCAGACGACTCGAAGGAAGGGTCAGTGACAGCAGTAGCAAGGAGACGCGTGACAGTAGGACTGGCAGCACGAAGAGAGTCCGACTCCGGGTCGGCAAGAGCAGGAAGAGAGGAAGCAGGAGGAGAAGGCAAAGGGGCACGCAGAGGAGCAGTGGACGGACGCAGTGACATCCGGTGCGTCCCAGGGACAGGAGGAGGACGCTGACGCGACCCGCGACCACTAGCGCGCTCAGTACGAACAGGCGACGCAGGACGAGACGCAGGCTCACGACGCTCAGTAAGGCCTCCAGTCGGACCAGTGTAGGGAGAAGGAGCAGGCAAAGGGGAGGCAGGCTCTAGCTGTGGCTGTGACCGGGCAGGCTGCGGACCCTCTAAGGGAGGAGGAGGAGGAGCAAGACCAAGAACCTGCTCCAGGAGCGGAACGAAGTACGGTCGAGACCGCGCGGCGACGCCAGAAACAGCAGGAACAGAACCAGCAGCTCCGGCCGGAGCACCCACTCCAGCAGCACCTCCAGCAGAACCACCAGAAGCTCCAGAACCTCCAGCAGCAGCACCAGGAGCACCGTCAGTCGGACCACCAACCGCAGGCTCAGCGCCAACGTCCTCAGCAGGACCAGCTCCAGAAGAACCCTCAGACCCAGCAGCTCCAGCACCCACAGGACGAGCACCGCCAGGTCGCGTGGCAGCAGCGCCCTCCGCAGTCGAAGAACCACCAGAACCAGCGGCACGCCTCCAGCGCCGGGCAAACCACTCACGCAGCTCCTGTGGAGAGAGCGGCTCCCGG